TCAGATATTACTGGTGGTGGCTCATCCGGGCGTCTCCTCTGTTGGTGTCTGAGGATAGGATTTGTCTAGACCAGGTTGACCCTGAAGGACAAGGAGTTGCTTTCTCACTATCTCCTTCCTTATCTTTAGTAGCAATCAACACCCTTTTTAGCCATTTTCATTTTGTTACTTCCATTACAAGGGTCATTCATTCATAGCAGAAAGATAAGAAAATAAGTGAACAGTTTACTTTCTCTCTCTTAGTATCATTGTTCCATCTACCCCAAGCAGAGATCCTGTCTCTTCTTTTACCCTCCCTTCTCTCTATTATAGTTTAAAAAAAAAAAAACCAAAACACTTTTTGTTGTTCTTAGCTTTTTACACTGTCCAGTGTGGGTCAGTCCAGAGGGCTCCCATGATGAGGGAATTTGAAATTTATATTTAAGACAAATGGAGAATATCTAAGAAAGCTTTTCTGCCTCAATTGCTAGCATTAGTACATTGTGACAATGAGGAGAAATTAAGGGAATCTTGTTGGAAGCTTATGAGAGGGAAAGTTTCATTCTTATTTTCAGTTTCTGCCTACATCTCACCTGCCTGCCCAGATATGGAGATAACATTTGTCGGCATTTGTAAGGTAGCAAACAGCCTCCATTTGGAGGCATCAGAGTAGAGGGAAGAGGGCGCTCGGTCTGGAAACTGAATGCCATCCCAGCTCTCCTCCCCCACTACCTGTGTGTCCTTGGGCAAGTAATTGGCCCTCTCTAAACTTTGGTTTGATTTTGAGAAATTCCTCTCCCTAGTGGTACTTTGGGAGATGCAGAGTTTTTATAACTTTGGATCTGATAGAACGGAAGCTGCTTGAGGGCAGGGATTGTTTCATTGGTCTCTGTAACCCCAGTGCCCAGCGCATTAGTAGACATTCAATAAATGCTTATTGATCGTTTTAAAAATGGTAAGCGTACAGGATGCCCTCTAATTTAAACGGATATGACGCTGCAGGTTCTGTTATTAATGGAGGAAGAGCAAATGTGCTTTGTATGGCCCCTATTGCTTTGGAGTGCTTGGTGCGCTCAGGACCAGTGGGGTCCATCAAGACTGCTGGACGTCTTTCAGAACTTTATCATGGGGGCTGGAGCTGCTTGGAAGCAGTATTTCCTCCATGCTTGGTGGGGCAGGAGAAGCGGCATCTCCTCTTCAAGTAGAAGTCTTTTATATATTGACAGGCATTCGAAACATATAGTCCAGACTGCTCAATAACTCTGTATGCTAGAAGGGCTCCTGGATTTGGATTGAGAAGACCTGTGTTCAAATCCAGCTCACCTACTTGCTTCCTGGGTAGTCTTGAGCAATTGTCGTTGAGGTCGGGCTCTGAGTCCTGGCCTTCTAAGGGCTCTTCTGGCTTGGAGTCCTGGAATCACATCCGTGATTCTCCTTTTAGGTCATTTTCTGTTTCCTACCCCTTTCATTGTATTCTCTATCATATTCGCGAGGTTTTAGGCTGCCCTTTCCTTTATCATCGTTGTCTTCCAACAGCTGATGCACCTGGGGCGTGGGGCAGTGGTACTGATGATAATTTAGAATAATAGGTCAGACTAACATAGGTTACCTCATTTGATCCTCACAGTAACCCTCTAAGTAATGTGCTTAAAATTATCCCCAGATGAAGAAACTGAGAGAGGCTAAGTGACTTATCCACGGTCACAGAGTGAGTAAGTGTCTCGGCAGGACTCAAGCTCTGGTCTTCCTGACTCTCAGACTAATGTGTTGATCAGTGATACCACCTTGCTCCTTTCTGAGGCCCATGGAGCGGTAAAAGGCACTGTCTTTTCCCAAGAGCACTAATACAGATTAACAGCTGGGAAAGCCTGTGTTGATGCGCTTATCCAACAGTCTAAAATCTTATAGAAACCCAGAATTTTAGAGCTGGGGGGAGCTTTAGAGATCACCGAGTTGAAGTTCTCATCTAGGCGGGACCAAGTGACCTCTGAACCTTTCATACCTCTAGCATGCAGTGATCCTCTGATATTTAAGAAATATATGATTCAAATAATGTTGATTACGCTCCTACTGTGTGCCTGGCACTGTGCTAAGTGGCGGGGATACAAAAAGACACAAAAGGTGGTCCCTTCCCTCAATGAGCTTCCCATCTAGTGCTGAGAGGAGCATGGGATGTAAGATGTACGTGGCTTGTGTGCTGCCCTGACACCTGTGGGGCTTAGAGGTCATCCAATCCAACTTGCTCATTTTGCAGAGGAGAAATCCAAGGCCCAGATAACTGAGACGACTTGGCCTGGGTCCCATAGCTAGCGGTGTTGGAGCTGGGATTGGATCTGGTTCTTAGGACATAAAGGAAGGCCTCCAGCATCTTGGATGGCTTGATGCAGAATTTATGGGGGAGCAAAATGGCGCAGTATCAGAACCCATGAGATCAGCTGCGATCGGTAGTTCGGGAGGGAGTGGCCGGGAGTCCATTGAAATATTAAAGTCTAATTTTTCTGCCTTTTCTCTCTTCTCTCCATCACCTTGTATTACTTCTTGCTGTTGTTCATAACTCTTTCTAGCATCATCTCCCTCTTTTTCACTAACTCTAGTCAAAACATAACCTCCTTTAACAACAGGGTGGGTGTGTGGAAAGTGTGGACAAGCTGTGGGGCCATGTATATTTCATATGGGCATATAGACACCTGTCTATTCTCCGGGTTAGCTCTTATTCCAGCCTGCTCTTGCACTGGAAAATCTAGTTCCCAAAGCAGGACCGGTACCGTGTTAAACTTGGATTCTCTCAGGATCCTGGAAGTAATCCTATTGAAAGAATATACCCTTCCCTACTTGCGACTTTAGCTCTTGAGCCCCCATAGATTCATTTCCATTGGCGCAAATTAGGCATAGTAACACTTATATCTTAACCATGATTATTTAAAGGAAAGGAGCTAATAATAGCATCATATGTATTAATATATTAAAACAAATGCAATAATAATAAATATATTATGACCCACGCATAAGCTTGTGTCATTTTTTCCACCAGGGTGCTCAATATCCATAGGGGAGGGTCAGCACATTTTTTAGGGAGCTGACAAGAAAGCGCATGAGGGAGAAAAACTCATGGGCCCGAGGTAACTCACAGCTCTGCACTACAGGCTTTGACATCGTGAGTTTATTCGGGAATGTCCGTTCCGCACAAAGCTACTTTTCTGCTGATTGTTAATCCTTATTGATCTCCAGCTCTATTCCTGACTTGATGTCACCCTTGTAAATTCACTCAGATTACAGTTGCCTTTAAGAGGGTGTTGAGGAAGTGTTACTTCTTAATTTTTAGAGCAGCCAAATGGCTGCAAAGCTCATCAAGCTGGCTTTCTCTGGGCAGTATAAAATTAAATCTCGGCATCTCTTCCTAGACAGCAGCTGCACAACCTGTCCTCTGCCTTTCTGCTTTTCTCTCAAACCACAATGGACAGCAGAGAGTATCCGTCACTTGTAAGAACCTTCCCTTCTCTTAAGCCCAAACAAATATCGGGAACGTCAGGCTCAGTCCTGTGCAGTTGTGTCAGGAGTCATGTAGCTGAAGCCTTCTGTTAGCTGACTGCTTCAGCCCTGATAGAGCTGATTTTGATCCCTGCTTTTTCCTTAACTTCATTTGTCTGCCCCAGCTACTTGTGCTTTTAGTGGCTAAAATCAGAGCTTCCCGGAGCTCATTAAGTCATTTTTCACTGCAACAACCACGTTTCTCTTATATCAACAGTCTCTTAAACATCATGCCCCAGAGTCCGAATAATTGTGTTCCTCATTTTTTTTTTTTTAACCTTATATCTTGAAGCTGTTCTAATCAAATGAACTAGGGGACCATGAGGCCCTGGAGCTCTAAGTGCTCAGCAGAGTACACCATCTCATTTTGTGTCCTTGAAACCCTTTCTATATACTCATGTATTTCCTATGTTTAGTAACTAAAGGCTTTTTTTTTTTTCTGCCTCTTGAGCCATCAGACTCCTTTATACACATGATACAGCACCCTTCCTCTTTTACAAGGTGAAAACAAATGAGATAATATTGTAAAGCTCTTAGCACAGTGCCTGGCACACAGTAGGTGCTTAAATGCTTATTCCCTTTCCATTCCCTTAAGTTTCTGCATTTATTCAGTCATCCGTTTCTGTCCCAGACTGCCCAAATCCTCCTGAAAACTGTTTTGCTTAATACACACATTAGCAGTTTTTATTAAAGCAAAGTTCTTTTCCTACTTCTTTTAGGCATCAACACAGTCACTGGACAGAGCCAATATCTTACACCCTTTGCCACTTAATTTGACTCTTTTTCTTTATACAAAGGTGCTTTTCTTGTCGCTTCTGACATGAAACTGCTCTGTATGAAAAGAACAGTTCCCTGAGGGGTGCCATAGTTTATGAGAACTCTGTGTCCAGTGAGTGTAACTTTCCTCTTGAATGAGGGCCTGAGGGGCTTTCCTGGTACTAAAGGGGACGGGCTTCTCAGTACACCCGTGTTGTAACATCTATTTTGGCTTCTGAGAGACCTCTGTGGTTTCCTTCCTGGATCCTGACGTATTTCAGGAAGTTGATGTTTCCAATTAAGTAAACTTCAGATGAATGAAGTATTTCTCTTTTCGTTGAGGTTTGGAAAAAAAGACCAGGCAATGCTTATCAAATATGCTTTTACCTCATGCAGAGTGATGCCATAAGAACCAATATTTTGGGAGTTGTGGTTTTCAGTTTTTTACATTCGGAGTCAGGTACCAGAGAGATATTTCCAGTCTTTAATCTATTGACCATACCATGTGAGTGTGTGTGTGTGTGTGTGTGTGTGAGTGTGTGTGAGTGTTTATTTAATGGGCAGCTTCTCTGTAAGCTCCTGAGAAATGTCGTAGGCAATGGTATATACAGCGTCATTACTCTCTAAGGCATCTGCAGTATCCAGTGGAAACAGAACACCAACAATTTCCCTCCATCTCACAGGAAGGACGTGTTTGGACTTGTAGATTCTAACAGTTGATGCTTCTTTTCTTGCAGGGACCTGAATTAATGGATAAATATGTTGGTCAGTCGGAACGTGCAGTCAGAGAGGTAAATGGTACTAATATCTGTTTGTCTGTATTTCTCTCTGGACTTGTGATTTCCTTCCTGTGGGAAAGAAGGAAGGAAGGAAGGAGACGGGGAGAGAACAGATGAAGGAGGAAGGGAGAGAAGGAAAGATGGAAGGAGGAAAGGAACAAAGAAAGGAAGGAGGGAGGGAGAGAAGGAAGAGAAGGAAAGAAAAAAGGAAGGAAAGAAGGATTCATAAAGTCCTTTTTTTTTTTTTAAATTTGTGAGGCA